TTTTCATGCATGAATGGCTTGTTTAAGGTCATGCCACAGCATCTCAATTGGATTTTTCCTTTGACTAGGCTGCTCCAAAACCTTAATCTTGGTTTTTTTTGAGCCATTCAGAGGCAGACTTGCTGGTGTGTTTCGGATCATTGTCCTGCTGCATAACCTAAGTGCACTGAGCTTGAGGTCACAAACTGATGGCTAAACATCCTCCTTCATAATTTTCTGGTAGAGTGCAGAATTCATGGTTCTATCAATTATGGCAAGTTGTCCAGGACCTGAAGCTGTAAAGCAGTCCCAGACCATCAAACTACCACCACCATGTTTGACTGTTGGTATGATGTTCTTTTAAGTAAATGCTGTGTTAGCTTTATTCCAGATGTAACGGGGACGCACACCTTCCAAAAAGTTCAACTTTTGTCTCATTAGCCCACAAAAGATTTGGATTTCGGGATAATTAAGATATTTTTTGGCAAATGTGAGACAAGCCTTTGTGTTCTTTTGGTCATCAGTTGCTTTCGCTCTCCCATGGATGCTATTTTTGCCCAGTCTCTTTCTTATTGTTGAATCATGAACACTGACCTTAACTGAGGCAAGTGAGGCCTGCAGTTTTTTGGATGTTGTTCAAGGTTCTTTTATGACCTCCTGGATGCGTTGTTGTTGTGCTCTTGGAGTAATTTTGGTAGGCTGGCCATTCCTGGAAAGGTTCACCACTGTCCCAGTTTTCTGCATTTGTGAATAATGGCTCTCACCATGGTTTGCTGGGGTCCCAAAGCCTTAGAAATGGCTTTGTAACCCTTTCCAGACTGATATGTTTCAATTAATAAAAATTTGAACTGAGAAGTAAAGATTAAAAGCTGCCATGGACTAGGTAAGTGGGCGATCAGCACATTGGGATGGCTTGGACAGGAAAGACATTAGAAAGAGGCTATTAATTATGAAAAGTGAAATTCTGCCTGAAAAGGTGAACTTAAACTTTACAACCTTATAGAAAGTAGAATGGCTATAGTGTCAAGCAAGCCAAATCAGGCCATGCGGGTCCATTGGAACCGGGGGTGGTTTAAATCATTGTCAAAAAGATTCTTGTACACTCCCAGGCCCTCCCTAAGCCAGTGGAGTGCTGCCTGTCTCAAAACCCATGAGGCTGATTAATCACTTTCCCTTCCATTCAGTCTGTCCTCATTCACTTGAAAGGGTCGCGTTCAGTGGGCTTGTTGCCTGCCAAGTATGAAACATCAATTTTTGCTGTGGAGCAACGAAGCATCATGCCTGGCTGGCATGTGAGAAAACCCTGTGCCGAGCATGCCATTGGAGCTTAAAGCTACCTTTTTCACCCAAAATTAGTGAGTAAGTTTTGCTTTTGTTATTCTTCAATCATATTTGGAAAGTCAGGTCAGTTGATCTTAATGTTTTGGGAGGGGAAAAGTAGTCGGGTGCAAGTTAACTTGGCATAAAATAATTTACCTGCATTTAATTGCCTAGACCAAAGCAATGGGAAAACTACGGCCGCGGGCCGTATACGGCCCGGCGGACCTTTTTCACGGCCATCGCGGATCTAGGCCCCTTTGAAAAAAGTGGTCGGCAAGCCCCGGCTCTTTACAAAATTTAGATGCGGCTCTCCTGTGTGCCGGGCGCCCATCCCCTCCCTCCTCTCCTCCTCTCCCCTCCCTCCTCTCCACCTCTGTCCCCTCCAATCCCCTCGGATGGCCGCCCCCCCTCTCGGATAATCGCCCCCCTCCCTCCTCTCGGACGTCAGGACTCTGCAGCTGTCAGGATGTAGGCGGGGCAGCGTGACGAACTCCTCTCACAGTCCTCCCTGAAGACCAGAACGGCGCGGGAATACGAGAGGAACGCGCGGACCAAAGGTAAGTGAATTGCACAGGGGGGGGGACTTACTATATGGGGGATGAATTACGTTTTCTGGGGGCTTACTATATGGGGAATGACCTTACTATATGGAGGTAACATTACTATATGGGGAATGAATTACTATATGGGGGACTTACACATATGGGGAATTAATTACTATATGGAGGACTTACTATATGGGGAATGAATTACTATGGGGGACTTACTATATGGGGAATGACACTAACAAATTACTAAACTCTGGGACTTACTATATGGGGAAGTGAATTACTATATGGGGGACTAACTATATGGGGAATGAATTACTATATGGAGGACTTACTATTGGGGCACCCCTGAATTTATAAATGAGGACTTACTATATGGGGAATGAATTACTATATGGAGGAGCATTACTATATGGGGAATGATGATTACTATATGGAGGACTTACTATATGGGGAATGAATTACTATATGGGGGACTTACTATATGGGGGATGAATTACTATATGGGGGATGAATTACTATGTGGGGGATGAATTACTATATGGGGGGATGAATTACTATGGGGGATGAATTACTATATGGGGGATGAATTACTATTGGGGATTGACATATTTGCTATAGGGGGGATGAATTACTCATGGGGGACCCGAATTACTATATGGGGGACGAATTTGCCCAAACTATAAAAGGGGACGAAAAAGGTACTATATGGGGGACGAATTCTATATGGGGGACTGACCCCTATGGGGGATGAATTACTAAATGGGGGATGAATTACTATGGGGGATGAATTCACTATGAAAGGGATCGCGTTACTATATGGGGGATTAATTACTATGGGGGAAACATCAATTACTATGCTTACTATCATGGTGGAATATTAGCAACCCTATCCAATGCCATTACTTAAAATGACACATACACATCATTCATTACTCTTGGTCCGGCCCCCATATTTGGAAATATATGAACCCATTTCGGCCCTCAAGTCAAAAAGTTTGCCCCCCTGGCCTAGACTGTTGGAGCAGAAATCCCTGTCCCTTCCCCCCACAACCTATTGGGACACCTCACGACATGCCACCATCGAGGGCCCAGAGTCCGGTGAAGAAGCAGCCTGGGTGAGTGCAGAGCTGGATCCATGAACAGGTAAGTGTCCTTTTATTAAATATCTGCAGCCACAGCAGGGGCAGGACTGACAATTCATGGGGCCCCGGGCAATAGGGGATCATGGGGCCCCTGTGTCCTTGCCCCAACTCAAAAAAGCCTATGAAAAAGGTACCAGGGGCATCTCATGGGGCCTCCTACTGACTCCGGGCCCTCGGGCAGTGCCCGAGTTTCCAAATGGTCAGTCCGCCCCTGAGCCACAGTATTTGTAGCTGCTGACTTTCAATTTTCTGCAAACTAGCTAAAGCTCTTCTTTAACCAGTTCCCAACTGGCCTATTGTAATATGAGAGCTGAGTGGGACTTTCGTTGTTCCGGGTGGACATCATATGACATCATCCCTGAACGTGCTTTGCATGCGGCTGCGCTACAGGCACAATCTGTCACCTGCTGAGTTGACCGGACACAGCCCATGACAGCTCACTGTACCAGCCCACTGCCGTTACCATATGATTACATGACAATTGTAAACAATGAATGGCTTCCTTTCATGCCATTCATTGTGTATAATTGTGTCGCTAGCTGTGATTGGTCACAGTGGACACATGGTACAGAAAGGGCCAATCACAGCCCATCTGTACCATGTAATTAGCTGTGGCCAATCACAGCTAATCACCACAATACTTTCTGAATTAATTGATTTAATTCACTAAAATGCTTGCTTATAACAATAAAATTCACACTGCTATAAGCAATCATAATGTGTAAAGGAGAAAAATCCTGAATCCCCAGAGTAGTACAGTGTTCCCCAGAGCTAGCTACAGTTTGTTAAAAAAAAAAAAAAAAAAGAGAAAAAAATGTATTACTCTTTTTTATTATACTGTCACTAGGCAGTGTCCCTGATCACCATCACACAAACTATATGATGACTCCGTAATTCACTGCTGACAGCATGCAAAAAAAAAATGTGAGAAAAGGTTTTTTTTTGTAAATTTCTTCATTTTCCCAAAAATTATGACAAAAAATTACAACTTCAAAAAATTTCGCCATGCCTCTTAATAAATACCCTAGGACTGTCTGCTTTCCAAAAAGGGGACATTTTGGGGGTATTTGTACTGTCCTGGCCTTTTTCAGGCCTGAAGAAATGAGATTGGCCATCAGTACATCAGGATTGATCAATTTTCAAATATACAGTGAAGGAAATAAGTATTTGATCCCCTGCTGATTTTGAATGTTTGCCCACTCACAAAGCAATGATCGGTGCAAAAATCGAATGTTCGGTGTATTGTAACACAGAGACAGAATAGCAACAAAAAATTCAGCAGAAATGCATGTCTAACAAATGATGACTGATTGCATGTTCATGAGGGAAATAAGTATTTGATCCCCTTCACAAAACATGACTGAGTACTTGTTGGCAAATCCCTTGTTGGCAATCACAGAGGTCAGACGTTTCCTGTAGTTGGCCCCAGGTTTGCACACATCTCAGGAGGGATTTTGGCCCACTCCTCTTGGCAGATCCTCTCCAAGTCATTAAGGTTTGGTGGCTGACGTTTGGCAACTCGAACTTTCAGCTCCCTCCACAGATTTTCAATCGGATTAAGGTCTGGAGACTGGCTAGGCCACTCCAGGACCTTACTGTGGTTACCTGGGGGAGGCTGTCATAGCCTCCTAGTGGAGGCAGAAGGAATGCAGACATGTATATGTTTAACAAATAATGTAAAGAAATAAGCAAAAAGATTTTATTTATTGTTTGGATTGAGCTATTATTAGCTGTTGAGATGTTACAACTTGCTAGCTGAGGTCGGTATTAGCATATTAATCACTTGTCAACCACTTTAGCCAAATGGCGGCTACAGTGCGGTCATGCTGTTCTATGAGGGCATCTTTTGAGCCACGCCCGCTACGACACAGCTGATCACAAATCACGGTAAAGGGCCAATCGCAGCGATCGTTTACCACATGATCAGCTGTGTCCAATCACAGCTGATCATGATGTAAACACAGTTACCAGAACTTTCCTCACAGCAGGTGTGAAAGGAGATATCTACACTGATAATCAGGGCACTGATTATCAGTGCAGCCCCAATAGTGCCACCCAGGGGCGGACTGACAACTCATGGGGCCCGGGCCCGGGAAATAGGGGATCATGGGGCCCCTTTGTCCTTGCCCAAACTCAAAAAAGCCTATGAAAAAGGTACCAGGGGCATCTCATGGGGCCCCCTACTGACCCCGGGCCCTCGGGCAGTGCCCGAGTTTCCAAATGGTCAGTCCGCCCCTGGTGCCACCTATTAATGCTAGTCAGTGTCGCCTATTATTTATTTATTTCAGGTACTTATATAGCACTATCAATTTACACAGCACTTTACATATATATTGTACACTCACATCAGTCCCTAACCCCCAAGGGGTGTACAATCTAAGGTCCCTAACTCACATTCATACATACACATACTAGGGACAATTTAGCAAGAGCCAATTCACCTACCAGCATATCTTTGGAGTGTGGGAGGAAACTGTAGCACCTGGAGGAAACCCACACAGGCACAGGGAGAACATACAAGCTCTAGGCAGGTGGTGCCGTGGCTGGGATTTGAGCCAATGACCTTAGTACTACCAGGCGGAAGTGCTAACCATTTAGCCACTGTGCTTCCCGTATTAGTGCCCATCAGTGCCGCCTGTCAGTGCCCCTCATCAGCCACCTATCAGAGCCCATCAGTGCAGCCTCATCAGTGCCCATCAGTGCCGCAGTGCCCATATCTAGTGCCCATCAGTGCAGCCTCATCAGTGCACCAGTGCCCAGTGCCCACCAGTGCTATCCCCATCAGTGCAGCCTCATCAGTGCATCAGTGCCCTCATCAGTGCAGTGCTATCAGTGCCCATCAGTGTAGCCTCATCAGCGCACATCAGAAAAGGAGGAGAAAAATTACCTGTTTGCAAAATTTTATAATAGAAATTAAGAAAAAAAAGTTTTTTTCCAAACATTTTGGTTTTTCTTTGTTTAGCAAAAAATAAAACACCCAGTGGTGATTAAATACCACCAAAAGAAAAACTCTATTTGTGTGAAAAATAGTATAAAAAATTTCATATGGGTACAGTGTTGCATTACAGCGCAATTGTCATTCAAAGTGCGACAGTGCTGAAATCTGAAAATTGGCCCGGACAGGAAGGGGGTGGAAGTGCCTGGTAGGCAAGTGGTTAAAGCACTTTGGGTTTCTGAGCTCCACAATGGAGGCCTATCTGTGGGCAGTCGGTGGCATCACTTCACAGACAGTGTACAGAGAGTCCATAGATTACATGGGCTGCTAGGACTGACTCTTTTGGGTGTAAAGGCTGTCCCTCTTTCTCATGTCAGAAAGTTTTGGGGAAAGTTTCCGATGGTGTGAAAACAAAGAGAATGGCTTGAGGGTTTTTCTTGAGACTCTGCTTTGGCTTTCTTTAGTAGGTCCATGCCAGTAGAGAGTTGCAGGTATGCCAACCATGCTCACATACCCCCAACATCATGTTTGTGAGACCGGGGACAAACCATCAGAGACAGAAATGAGGACACATTGTTAGCATTGTCGGATGGCGTCCTAAGAATCTGCAGGTGTCTTCCATATGTTTGTATGGAGCAGAAGGTAGAATACAATTTGGAGACACAGCCAGAGGCATCTCAGCTCCTCGCGGCAGTCTGACGTGCTCAGCGCCCCCGACTCTCCACAGCTTCAGATCCACCATCAAGAAGCTTTCAGCACATCTTGAGCTGGTCACGTCTCCAACATATGTAGCCTCTGGCTTATTCCTCTTATGCCAGCAGTGATTTGTTCAGCTGGCAGCGGAATTCCACAGAGTGCTCAGGAGATGTCAGTTCTGTTATCTGGCATGCCCTGTTATCTGGGTATGAGCCAGTCACGGCAGGTTCCCCGTCTAAGAGAATTCAGACCGGTCCCACACAGGTAGATCTCTTGACAAAAAGATTGGCACAGCCGCCTTTGGATCTTGATACCGCTGGCACTTGCCTCTATTTTTATCCAAGAGACAGCTGATTCTAATTTTCTACATCCACTTATATAATCAGAAACAAAATCAAATGTTCTCTTAAATCTGGGGCATTGAATTAAACATCAAGGAGGTCCTGTCAGTAAAAATGTATTCCAGCAGAGGTCAGAATCTCATCTTTGAAAAAATCAATGTACAATCTACACAGCATTTCAAAAATGTTTGTCAATTGTCAGTGCACCTCCTTACGTCAAGTGTTCACATCAGAGTGCCCCCTTACATCAGGTGCCCCTATCAGAGTGGCACCTTACATCATGTGTCCTCATCAGAGTGCCCCCATACATCAGAGTGCCCCCTTACATCAGGTGCCCCTATCAGAGTGGCACCTTACATCATGTGTCCTCATCAGAGTGCCCCCATACATCAGAGTGCCCCCTTACATAATGTGCCCCCTATCAGAGTGGCACCTTGCATCATGTGTCCTCATCAGAGTTCCCCCATACATCAGAGTGCCCCCTTACATAATGTGCCCCTATCAGAGTGGCACCTTACATCATGTGTCCTCATCAGAGTTCCCCCATACATCAGAGTGCCCCCTTACATAATGTGCCCCTATCAGAGTGGCACCTTACATCATGTGTCCTCATCAGAGTTCCCCCATACATCAGAGTGTCCCCTTACATAATGTGCCCCTATCAGAGTGGCACCTTACATCATGTGTCCTCATCAGAGTGCCCCCATACATCAGTGTGCCCCCTTACATAATGTGCCCCTATCAGAGTGGCACCTTACATCATGTGTCCTCATCAGAGTGCCCCCTTACATAATGTGCCCCTATCAGAGTGGCACCTTACATCATGTGTCCTCATCAGAGTTCCCCCATACATCAGAGTGCCCCCTTACATAATGTGCCCCTATCAGAGTGGCACCTTACATCATGTGTCCTCATCAGAGTGCCCCCTTACATCAGGTGTCTCCATCAGAGTGTCCCCTTACATCAGGTGTCCCTATCAGAGTGACACCTTACATCAGATGTTCCTATCAGAGTGACACCTTACATCAGCTGTCCCATCACAGTGCCCCCTTACTTCAGGTGTCCCCATCAGAGTGCCCCCTTACATCAGCTGTCCCCATCAGAGTGCCACCTTACATCAGGGTCTGTCCCCCCCTTACATCAGAGTGCCCCCTGCCCCCTTACATCAGCTGTCCCCATCAGAGTGCCCCTTTACATCAGAGTTCCCCCTTACCTATCAAAATTTCCTCTTACATCAGGTGTATCAATCAGAGTGTCCCCTTAAATCTGGTGTCCTCATTGCAGTGTTCCCTTACATCAGATATCCCCATAATAGAGCCCCTGTACCAGGTGCGGACTGACCATTGCGGCACTTAGGCACTGCCCGAGGGCCCGGGGTCAGTAGGGGGCCCCATGAGATGCCCCTGGTACCTCTCATAGGCTGTTTTCGGTGTGGTTTGAGTGTGGGTGAAGACACAGGGCCCCATGATCCCCTATTGCCTGGTGGCCCCATGAGTTGCCAGTCCGCCCCTGCCCTGTACATTAGATGTTCCCATACAGTGCCCCCCCTTACATCAGGTGTCCCTATTAGAGTGCCCCCCTTACATCAGGTGTCTCCATCACAGTGCCCCCTTACCTCAGGCGTCCCTATCAGAGTGACACCTTACATCAGGTGTCTGCATTAGAGTGCCCCCTGTCCCATCATAGTGCTCCCTTACTTCAGGTGTCCCCCCATTAGAGTGTCCCCTTACTTCTGGTTTCCTCATCAGAGTGCCCCTTTACATCATGGTCCCCATCAGAGTGCCCCCTTACATCAGCTGTCCCCATTAAACTGCCCCCTTACATCAGGTGTCCCCATTAGAGTGCCCCTTTATATCAGGGTCCCCATCAGAGTTGCCCCTTACATCAGGTGTTCCTATCAAAATGTCATCTTACATCAGGTGTCTCAATCAGAGTGCCCCCTTACATCAGGTGTCCCCTTTGAGTGTTTCCCCACATCCAGTGTCCCCATCAGCGTGCCCCCTTATATCAAGTGTCCCCATTGCAGTGGTCCCTTTCATCAGATGTCCCCATAATAGAGCCCCCTTACATCAGGTGTCCCCATTAGAGTGCCTCCTTAATATAAGGTGTCCCCAGCATAGAGGCCCCTTTCATCAGATGTCCCCAGCATAGAGGCCCCTTACATCAGGTGTCCCCACTAGAGTGCCCCCTTACATCAGGTGTCCCTATCAGAGTGTTCCCTTAATATAAGGTGTCCCCATCATAGAGCCCCCTTACATCAGGTGTCCCCACTAGAGTGCCCCCTTACATCAGGTGTCCCTATCAGAGTGTTCCCTTAATATAAGGTGTCCCCGTCATAGAGGCCCCTTACACCAGGTGTCCCTGCTATAGATCCCCCTTTCATCAGGTGTCCCCATCAAAATGTCCTCTTACATCAGGTGGCAAAAGTTAAAAAAAGAGCCTCCTGAACTCCTGCCAGCCACTGCTATACTGCCATGTGCGGATCACTTTTCAGAGGATGGTAAGCATTACTGCCTGTCTGAAAGAGTCCAAATTGCGTTGGGGTGCCATTCACTCAGCATGGTGATTTACTGTGCTTTGCTTGTCTTGTTTGTCCAGTACAGGCAAAGTGCAAGTTCCCTTTAAATCCCCGGGCTGTGTCTAATCCTCGCTTCCAGCACCCTATACAGCAAACATTCAACAAGCTGGGGGCCACTTTCTTGAATCCCTCAGATCGCCCTTCAGCTCTAGTCTTAGAGCGCTAAATACAGATCCCCAGGTTGGGGCTTTGCAGGTGATTTTATTCTCTTGCCACACAGCCGAGGGGAGATTTACTTAGTTGCTGACAATCACCTCTTTAGCAGAATGTTCATTTTATTGAATTACAAATGATGTGTCTTGATTTCATTGTATCAAATGATTAAACAAGATGTCGGCATGCTGCACAACTGCTTGAAGCATGATCAAGACTGGCGGATGCTAAAGCTGAACTCCGGGCAGACAGAAAAGACATTTTATTGCAGCTCACTAATCATTAAGGACTGGATCACATGTGTGCGACGCATTTTTGGTGTGGCGCCTTTTTTTTTTAGATGCATCAAAGATGCAGCATGCAGGACATCGATGCACTTTCTTCAAAACACTCATTCCAATATAGTTCAATGACAGTGTGCATATAAATTAGACATGTGCAGAACAAAAAAATATGTTTTGTTTTGGAACGATTTGTTAAGTTACTAATTTTGTTTCATTGCATTCTTAACTAAATTTGTTCAGTTTTGTTTCATTTCATTTATTTGTT